ATAGATGGTAGCAAGCCTGACTCCAAAACATCGATATATTTCTAGTGATTCATGTTTCCATTAACCACTATCAATTCGCCCAAGCCATGGATGCTGATGCAGCCCCACACCATGATGAATATGCTGCTCCGGGTTCGAAAATTCAGTGCATGTGGTTCAAACGCTTTACCAGCAGTTTGCCAGCATAGTACCCGTTTGTCATCAGAGGTCAGACAAAAGCGACACTCATCAGAAAAAAATATATAGGACCAATTGTCATGAACTGTCCAGTTCCAGATCCCGTTGACCCTAGTTTACTCTACGTTGCCTGTTTTGTAACGATATACACACACTGGACAAAAGAAGTGTCACCCCTACTGAGCCAATACTATAGGGGTGATAAATGACTGCGGAATGATATGCTCTTGGTATCATTTTGTTAACATCAAATTTCACAAAAAATCACAAAATGAGAACAAAATATACATTCTACCAAAATATGCAGTTTCAAGTCCAAAATTAGTACTTAGTGGCATAGCCACGTGACTTTATAATAGGTGCCAGTCTACGAAGCAAGGTTTCATATAATTGTCTGATGCGTTCAGGGCTAATGCTGGCCCAAGCATGAAACACTGAATATAACAGAGTTTCTCTGCTGGTTAGACGGGCATTTGTAAAAAGTTTTGACATATCATTCCACACATTTTCTATTATGTTTGCATCCGGACTCTGGGCAGGCCACATCACCCTGCGAATGTCCTGTTGGTCAAACCAATGATCAACTGCTCTGGTCCTGTGACAAGGAACATTGTCATCCTGGTGAACAAATGGATAATTCCTGTCACCAAACATGTTAGTAATAGATGGTAGCAAGCCAGACTCCAAAACATCGATATATTTCTAGTGATTCATGTTTCCATCAACCACTATCAATTCGCCCAAGCCATGGATGCTGATGCAGCCCCACACCATGACGAATATGCTGCTCCGGGTTCGAAAATTCAGTGCATGTGGTTCAAATGCTTTACCAGCAGTTTGCCAGCATAGTACCCNGAGTTTATTACTAGGTGCATGTGATAAACATGAAAAAATAGGTTTAAGACTTCTATATATGTAAACTACTAGTCACATTTAATGAATTTAAAAGGAAATGGTCTCATACTACCAGTGCAAGTTTTGATATGAATGTTTTTTCAGTTTGTTTTTGATATAAATTTATGCTCTGCATGATAACTCTGACAGAAAGTCCACAATTGCAAGCAGAACATAAAATTTTGCTTTGTGCAAGTGTGATTCTCATTACATAATTTTTATTTCTTTTTTATCCCACCAGAAGAACATGCAGAAAATAAATCAGGGGGAAATATGTCTTTGAGGAATATCACTGTTAAAGAGAATGTCAACAGCCTGACCAGTGACTCTTCTGACATTACAAGTATGTGCACCTCAGGCATTGCCAACAAAGAAGAAGAGTCTGACCCATGCAGGGGTGGTAATGTAACAGCTGGAATCCCTTGTGTAAAGTCAGTCCTTGGCAGTGCAAGTAAATTTGAAACTTGGAGTTTAGTTGACACCACTGAAAATGAAGTCATGTGTGACAATGCTGTTTCTGACAAAGATTGCCTTGCTGGAAATCATGGCAAAATCAATAAAACTGTATCCTGGGATGTACTGAATGATATTTTAAAGATAATTGAAAGAGATGCTTTTCTTGGTGCTTTTGGATCTTCAGAGGATAAGCCGAAAAATGTAAGCACTGAGAATACCATAAAACCCAGCAACACAAACAAAACATACAATGTAGTAGAAAACACAGATGCCATTGCTCACTCAACTATGAATGAATTGTTAGACCTTATATGTTATGAGCAGAGGAAGGAAGCTCAGCATCAGAAGCCAGAAGGAAAAGAATGCAACAACTACAAGAAACCACCATTAACATCTTTTCAGCCTGTTCCAAACCACACGTCTGATGTGGTCTCACTATGTTCCCTAAGACACTCAACACTCCCCATACCTACATTATCAGAGATGTGTACTAAAGCCATGACCAAATTTTCACCAGTACCTACTTCCACTGATAGAGAAGTAACTCCAACTGGAAAGATGGCATCAAAAAATTTACCAGGGCCACAAGAACTGACTTCTACCAGACAGCATATGATACCGCATAAACAAAAAGGATGCATCCACCAGCAGGTCCAAGTGGACCCATATAAATTGGGTGTACTGTGTCAAACTGCTACACAGTGTGATATTCCCTCTCCTTCAAGTGCACTACTGAATGGGAAAATGGGACCAGTGCATGCTGTGGTGTCCAAGAGTGTACAAACAGAAATCCATGCGGTGGACATAAATGGTTTTGAAAGTACGAATAAGGTGTCATCCTCTTCTTCACAAAGAGAAGGTGGTTGCAGATATTGTGGATGCACCTGCAGTGTAAACAGTCCTGGAAATGTCAATGGGCAGGCTACAGTGTCTCCTACAGCAGTGGAAAATATTGGTCCTCTCAGTGGAGGTGATGATTCTCTGTCAAACACCCAGGAGAGTTGTCATTTTCCCCCAGAGAAGGCTTGTCAAGAACATGAGGAATCTACTTTGTCATCACAAGAATCTGAGCATGGGTTCATATCACAAGATAACAAAAATACTTTTCCAGTTTGTACGAACAAGCCTCAGGAACCTAAGAAGGCTGTACTGGAAAAACAAAATGACACTCCAGTAAACCTGCCTACTGAAACACCATCAGCTGACTCTGGTGAGCTTCAGGTTTCATTATCCAAAGATTCTAGTAAGATTATCCCACAAGAACAAAGCAAATATACAACACAAGTACCTACAATTGAAACTGTAGCAAAGAAATCTGTCCAGGAATCATCACCTGACAAAGTTTCATCACAAGAATTCAAGGGTGAATCTACGAATAATCAAGATTCTTTTCCAGTGCCTGATAAAATGTCCTCACAGAGCTCTTCAAAAGACCGTAATGAGGTATCGTCACATACTAATAATTTTATTGTATCATTCTCACAAGAGACTGGTTTGCCTTTCTCACAGGACCAAAGTGGTGATTTGTCACAGGCGTCTACTGCCTGCACAGATACTGGCAGCATGATTAAGATAGCTGCAGAGGCTCCACAAGTCTCTGCCAACACTGGCCAGAATATGGAAGCCCAAATGACCAGAGGTGCAAAGAAAAGAAAAACATGTATTAAAATGGAATCTTCTTCTTTGAAAAGAAAAAGTAATGGAGAACATGCCATGCCAGAGCAAAAACAGTACCACCTTCGTGCAGCCAAAATTAGGAGAGTTGTGATGAAGAATTCAAAGTAACATGAAGATAAAAATGTGATTTTATGTACAAAGACAAATACTTGATATTGCTGAATAGTTTTGCCTATATGCTGACTGAACAGCATCATAATCGTATATACATGTGTACGTAGTCCTTGAAATCAGAAAATCTTTAGTAAAAAAAACTCCATCCTGATTTAATGTCATTAGGTTTAGAGGTTTCATCTTGTTAGCTTTAGTCTTAGTTCTGGAGAATTGTATATTTGTTTAACATAGTGTTTGTTGCATTTTTGAGATCATTTGCATTAAGCTAAATGAAATGTACGCTTAAGGATTAAATATAAAATTATTTATTTACTTCTCATTTTACATTTTTGTCTGTGCTCTTGTTACATATCTTGAAAATAAAGTCACTTTAGAAAATAAAAAAAAACTTTCACATAACACTGGTTCAACTTACTATATAGGGCTTCAGTTGACATCTGCAACAAATGTAATGAGCTGTTATTAAACAGACAATGGCCATACGCTAATGGTCTGGAAATATTTTCTTACGATTAATCAGATGGCAGAGATTAACCTTTAAGTTAACAAAAATTACCCCTTCTGCCACTGAAGTATACTATAATATTTCCTACTACATGAATATGAATGACTCCTTATTTTTGACAATAATAATGAAGCAAGGTGATTGTAAGCACGAGAAACCCAGAGAAAATTGTCTCTAAGCATTTCAAAGTGAAAGGATTAAATATATTATATTATTTAGATTTAATTTTTTTTAAAGAATATGCTTAGGCATACATTGTTCTCAATAGCTTGCTTGCTGTTAAACTATCTCTTAAAAAGTTCACTCTTGAGGTGGAATGACCTTGCTAGTGAAATTAAGCCATTTTCTCCAACAGTCAACTGATCAAAACAACACGATACTTTAAGACAATAAATACTTTTTGATATTTGTCAACACTGAAACAACATAAAGTGCCTCTACAATATAACTAACTTGTATCACATGTCACTAGCCATTACACATGATACTTCATTAATTTTGTTACAGTATTTTTTATTCCAATTACTCAAAATAGATACCGGCGTTAAATCATGCAATCATTTAAATTTCAAACAAAGCTCAACTCAGTTGTATCTTAAGGGGTGATAACTCTTCTTTTGGTGGGGAAAATGCCATAAAAAGGAAAATACCTTTGGATAGTGTTTTGAAAAAGTTAACATGCAATAGAGTATTTTTGACCCAATATTTAGCCCCAACAATTTAAATGGCTCTAATTTGGTCATTAAATATCTTGTGGTGAGAAATAAACTATGTAGTTTTGAAACATTAAAATGATTATAATTATATATGATGACATGAGAACAACAAAACATGAAAAAGGAATGTTTAAGCTTAACAAATTTCAGTTGTTATATGTTCAGAGCATGCACAAAATATTCTTAAAGTGATAATAACTCTTCGTTTCGGCCAAAAAATGAATTTTCCTGGAGTAAACAACAATTTTCCCATACTTACCAATGGTTAATGAATCCATTTTTACATTCAAACTTAGTCCCTTGGTTTTTTTCTAAAAAGTTTGGTTTTTTGTTAAAATCTCTTAAGAGATTTTAACAGAGTATAGCCATCAATGGAGGTCACGTGGTCTAAAGACAAGCTCAGATATCAGAATAATAGCTATAACAGCCGTTTTTGTGGGAAAACAGAATATATTATATTTTTATGAGTCACTCACAATGTTTTTATTGTGAAATACAGATTTCATGCACAGAGTTATTATCCCTTTAATCTTCAACTTATTCTAAGACTTAATCTTTCAAAGGTACAGTTACTATAACGATTCTGTAATGAACATCACAGCCCTTTGAGTAGATACATTACTTAATTCAATTTACACAACAACCATATGTATGCCATCATACTGTGACAATAACAATAACAATGACTATAAGATTGTAGAGTTTCATCTCATTAGGTCTCCACACACCTTATCACTGTCATCATTACTCTCCACTGGTAAAACAGAAATACAAAACAATATTATTTATTTTAAAACCTTACTATTAATACTGGGACCCAAACGTGACAATGTTTTAAAAATCATTCTTAAAAAAAAAAAAAAAACTAGTTAGGAGTAACAAAGGAGTAAAGTAATTTTGTGGGGAGTAATGATGCTGGGATATTAGTGATAACCCCACATATAGAACCCTACACCAACTGCTTTATCACTCAGGAGAGTCTAAATCCGAGTCCCGTCCATCCCTGTTTAGGCCCCGTATGTGGACATACTGGACACTCTTTTCATAATAAGCAACAGGTGCTCCCCGTCCACACCATGGCCTGGCAAACAGCCCCTCCATCTCTTCCAGGCTCTTCCCCTTGGTCTCTGGCAGAAGGATTAGCAGGAATATAAAACCTATGGTGCCTAGGCCTGCATACAGCCAGAATGTACCTAGAGAAAGAAGAAGATATTTCAAGAGGGTGCATTTAATTAATTTATGAGAATGCATTTAAGTAAGTGGGTGGAAAAATGGGCTACTGTTAAAGCATTCTGTATGTGATCATAAGAAGACAAGGAAAACCAGCTTGAAATTGAGGTATACTAAAGTTTATTGACAACTGTGGAGTCGGTCGCTGTCTCAAGTTTCCACAACACATGTAACAAAAGTAGATGATATTAATGTTGCACCAACTCATTGCATACTTTGATGAAAATGATGGGTGATTGAGACATTATATAAAAATAGGGTAGGGGTGTGAAAGGTAGATATGATGTTTTGAAATAATGGCAGGATGGGGATAGATATGTGTATATTTCAAAACTGAAAGTTGTCTTTTTTCATTCTTTGGTTGAGAATTGGTATAATAAAACGGCGCACATTACTTCAGGGACTGTGTGGAATAGTGCCCTTTGAGGAGAAATATAAGACCATGACTATGTACTGTTTGTCTAATATAATTACAATATGACAAATTGAAAGTGGGTTGGAAAGTGGCATGTTTCTACGTCAATGCAGGAAACATATCAGGACAAAATTCAATATTTTCCGAAGTTAGAGTAATTTTAGGTGTCACTTTATCATATTATAACAACATTATTAGACCAAGAGATGTTTTGTCACCGACACTTCTCAAGTATGCAAAGAAATGTTGCTGAAATTACACACGAACAACATGAGCAAGTTAAATGTTGCCTTTATAACTTCTATTCCAGACAAGAAAAAAAATGCTGTAAGTAAAATAATAATATAATCACACATTTAATTTATATTTGAAAATCAAACAACTAATACATTAAAAAAGAGAAAGATCTGACTTTAAAATCATGTGCCTTATTTATATCAGTCTGTACAGTATCTGTCATACAATGATCAATGTAAATTATTCATCCTTCTGTAATCACCTGCCAATGAAAAAGATTGTTTTTATCAAAACTGCTTCATTTTGTTTGTTAGTGGGCAAGATATCTTTAAAAGTTCTTTACATTTAGATGAAATATTTACGAAAGACAATTATTGAGGCGTAAAAAGTTCTTCAACAGAATCTAGATATAATATTTCTGAAAAAATCTATGGCTTTTTTCCATGGCAGGAGATGGCCTTGCTCTAGGAGTCCCTCTAGTTATCATGATGATCATTATTATCAAGAAAGTTTTGTCACAGAAAAAACTATCAGCAAAGAATGCAGCTGAAAACACAAATGATACTGCTCTTTCAGACCTTACCATATCTGGTCAAAGATTCAGTCAGTGTCAGAAACGTCATGGAGACCAGAAGATTGCAGGTCCAATTCCAGAAGGTGGCAGCAGCGTTGCCAGTGCTCCTGGCCCACAGTGGGTAGATCTCAGAGTTGATTGTCCATGGCATGGGCCCCATACCTGGATATAAGAGGACGGAAATCTGGATAAGTAATGGTCATGATTCCTATATCATTGCACACAGGATAGCTCAAATACAATTTGTGGTGTTTTTTATAAAAGCATTTTTGTTATGTTTGAAAGAAAGATAAAAAAAACCTGGGAAAAGAAGCATATGAAAATTTTCAAGGTCACTCAGTAGCTATGTTGTCTATGCCCCTTACAGCTTGAGTGGGCAGTGTCACTATCTTCTTGTAGATATAGTTACAAATAAGCATCATGTTCAGCTATAAATCAGTTTCAAATGGTGACAAAATGAATGATTTTAAAACCTTCACTGTTTCTGCCAAGGCCCTCATCCGACATTACCAGTAAAATTATGTCTTGAAAACACAAATAAGCACAACAATGTTGATATGAAAGTAAAATACATGCAAAAAAAAAAAAAAAAAACTATAGTATTACGTAAAAGTAATGTGATCATGCTGATCAACTTCAAGAAGAAACTATCTCTTTAGAAAACAACAAATACCTACAGTTTGGTAGTTATAGCAAGAGAAATGTGGAAATACACAAAAAGAAACACAAAAAATCAATAACTTTTGTATTCATAATATTCTCACACTGATATTCAAAAGGAATATGTGTTTTTACTAAACAAAGCCACCCAATATATTTGAAGTAAAAATAAAGTATGGGATGGCACAAATAGGGTGAACAGAAAAAAGCACAAAAAAATCAATAACTTTTGTCAAAGTAAGACAATCATGCTGGATTTCAAGAGGCAGCTGTCTATTCACCAAACAAAGTCAGTCAGTAAATCGTGATTTATAAAAATATGGTTTGGCAGTTATAAGGTGAACAACGTATGTGTCAGACAGTGAGGGTGTGAACAGACACAGTGATCAGAATATATACAAATATATAAATATAAATATAAAATGTAGGTCATCATCAGGTCTCAGTGTCAATTTCTGATTTAAACAATCACTTCTGACAAAGTGACCTAGTGAGAAAATCATTCAATATTTTTATCTGGCAATGTACAGTGACAAAATTTGCAGCAGGTTGAATTTCATGGTTCTAAGGCGCAATCATATTGCAGATAAGTCCCTTCTTCTTGATCCAATTTTGTCACCCTGATTTTCAGAAATTTCCTAACACTCAATCAAGTCATCTGCATGCCATTTCTGATATCAGCAGTGTGATCAGCACCAGACATGTACATGTATAATTGTGCCAAGATGACAATGCACCAAATAGAGTGGGCCTATCTGCAGTGTGAATGTGACTCAAAACTACTTACCTGGGGCAAAGAAGACCAAATATGACACCAGTCCTACCATGGCCATCCATGAAAAAGAGGTTGGGCAGTAGTCATATGCCCAGGCCACAGAACCTGCATTGGAAAGAGTTATAGTCTTCATGCAAGATAAAGTACAAAAGATTTAACTGCACTTTGGCACATAAGGTAGCAGTTAGCATTTGGTCTTGTAATTCCATAACAACAAAACTCGACAAATGAAATGTTTCATAATATCATAAAATCCAGGGTTAAAGGCTACCAAAGCTGATGTCTTATTCTATTGTTAAGTTCACATTTTTATTCTTAGACTCTGTCACTCTGGCCCCCCTACCCCATGCCTCTCCTTAATCAAAATCCTATATGTGAGACTACCACTGCACTATAGCATTGTGTACCTGGAAGGCTAGTGCTGTTACACCTGCCATACAGTGAAGTTAGTGGGTCATCATAGCTTGTGGCCAGGCAGGAGCCATTCACAGCCGTGTTATTGGCATCGTTGTAGCAGAAACCGCAGCTCAAATCTACCATGCATTGGTCGCAAGTGCTGAAATATACAGTGAAACATGTTGGTGTGAAGGAGAAAACAGAGGGTACTCAGAAGTTGATCTGCAGACTCACTAAAAAGCAGCGCTAACTAATCCCCTGATGGCCTCTACGCCTACACAAGCGCCGTCACTGCAGGGGCCTTGCAATTTAACCTCAGAGCCAAGATTTAATCCATTTAAGGGCCAGTTCATGTGGAGGTGGGGAGACCATCAGGGGATTAAACGGCACTGCTTTTTAGTGGGGTCAGCCATATTTAGTCACCGAATCAGTTAGTCCACGGATTAGTTAGTTCTGAATGCCCTCATGGCCTCAAATATAACCAGTTTATCACACACTGCTGGTTTCAGATACTAAAATATACAAAGATTTATTTTGTTGTGCTACATGTACAGTGTAATAATATTATTATAAGAAAAAGAAAAACTCATTTTAATGAAGTTCATCATGCATGCATTGGTTTCACACACTGAAATCTACTGAGATCTATTTTGGCGTGTTGTTCACATAACTGTAGCGGAAATCACACTTCAAGTTTCAAATTAGCACATTCTTGTTACAAGTAATGAAATTCACATAGATCCACATCCCTGTGTTATTATCACTGCAGTGGGAGAAACTAAAATTCAAGTCAATCATTCACTGAAAGCATGAAATATATCTCAAGTCCTAAACCCGTTTACATAAGAGCACAATTAGAACAGCGGACAAGCAGATCTGCAGATCAAATATGGCAATCCACTACATTAAAAAAAAGCTTGCTGCATAATTCAGGATTAGACACTGAATAGATTTCCTGCAGGGATTACGCAACAAGCATTCATTGACAAGTGGGTCGGCCATATTTGATCCATGGATCTGTTAGTCCCCTGTTCTGAATGCGCTCCAAGGGAACCTCCTGGGTCTGGGGTATTCTCCAATACCTGTGCTGATTACATGGGTTCACAGCTTCCACCACTGTAATGGGAGGGGAGTGGAGGGCGTTGAGCTGGAACCCAATGGCAAGCCAAGCCAGACTGACTATAGCACCTAGAAGAAAAAATTAACAAAGTTATAATTTTAGATGCCATGAGTAAGTGAGACAGTTATTGACGGAGAGAGTTGTCTGGAAACAAGAAAAAAAATCAGTCTTGGGTATAATAATGAAAAGGATCCAGGGGCCTACAACCTAAAGTCCATATTTTGCTTTAGATCTTGATCACTAACCATAAAAATTATGTCTAGAAATACAATCATCATAACTAAATTTTGGTCCCTTTTAGTGTTGTAATCCACCAAACAAGTTTTGTATTTCTTTTATTAAACAATTTTTTTGAAAAAAATTATAAGGTAACATGCATCACTCTTAGACTATACTTATTTCAATAATTGACTCTTTTGATGGAGCTGGGTACCTTATTTTTCAAAGGAAGTAGCTCTAAATGCACTCTGTAGATGTATATAATAAAACAATCACACCTAAATGCATTTAAAAGTGAAGAAATGGCCCCTTTTTTAGAAAAATGTCTGTGTACATGCTTGCTCAAAAAGGTCATTTCATTTTGGGCCCTGTTCCTGGATTTCAACTTGAGGCCATATCCCTGACTGACATATCTTAAATGCAAAGTACATGTAGGTCAACCAGTTTGCGTCTTTTTTCCTCACCAAAGTGCCTGTGCGAAACCTCAAATGTGCCAATTCCATCAGAACAAACACCAAATGAAAGAAACTAGACATGTGAAGTATGCACTGAAGCTCTATAAGCAAGCTTGAGCTCTCTTATCGATTTAGAAGATTTATAGTCTTGTATTTTGAAATAATGCTGTAGGACCCACACAGTGTAATATGGTAACCAAAGTATAGAAGTCAAACCACAGTGGACTACAGGCACATGGACATGATTGAGGGTAGAAATTCAAAATCAAGGCACCCAAGTTTCAGAGGATACCAGAAACACAATTCTCTTCTGTCAGCATACCTATGCTATTTCAAGTTTTTGAAACTAGAGTATGTAGATGTAATGTGGTAGAAGGCGCCTTTTCATAAATTGCCCTCTGAGGCTCAGGGTACTCATGGGAACTGGTTAAATTCAAAGTTTAGAATATAAACAGTTGTATTAACTTACTAAAATGGAACAAAGTTGACTGAATACTATTAGGTTTGTCTCTAAAAGTAATGTTTAGCAAGTAATACCCAGAAAAAGCTAGGTAAAAAGCTGGAGAACTAGTTTGTTTCAGGCCAGAAAGTATTTTATCATCTGACGATGTCAATTAGTTATGAAACTGACAATGAGGATTTTTCTTGGTTTCCAGTGTAGAAGCGAATTTAATCAAAATTTTATGTATTTTTTTGAAAGGTTCCTAATGATAACAGACAAGGCTCTATATATTTATATCAATTTTGTTACTATCATTATCATTATCAGGACATTAAGTGGGAGGTAATAAAAGGTGGAGATAACCACAGGCTGGCTTTTCAGA